AGTCAGAGAGGATAACCTGAACTTGGATAAATCCATGTTCTTGGTTGAGAATTTGGAGAGACAATGCACCCTGTATGACAAAGTTGCTCACTCCTCCATCACGTTTTAGTGTTACATTAAGCTTTTCTTCCACAGTCAATGTGACAGGATCAGTCGGCGGAAGGCTGGTTGTCTTAGACTGACCTGTACTAGGTCTAATATCCTCAACAATAACTTCACCTTCAGCTTTTAGAGATTCCAAAAATTGGTTGGTCTTTTGTGATTTGCCTAGCTGCATACCAAGAGCTTTTGGGGGAGCTGTTGCAGATGAAGGGCGGCCTAATCCTACAATAGGAATTCATGATCAGCTTTGACTCCCAGAAATCACATCAAAAACATTTTTTGACATGGTAGCATAGTCAACACAATTTTACAAATTTTTATTATATAATCTAAAAGAAATGGCAACCCTTTGATTTGGTAGAAAAGGAATCCACATCAGTGTTCAACCCAAAGCCACTCCCAAAACCACCCCCAGTATTAGCTATGCTTGTTTCACTGCCAAAGCCACCATCAATTCTTCCAGATCCCATTGACTGAAGGGACATAAAACCACCTTTATCGCCCCTATTCTTCTCAATCTGCACAGCAAATAGCCAACAACATATATTCCATATCAGATAAAAAATGATGATACTGTTCCAACAGAATAACATTACAGGGCATCTAGTCGCCCCTTTCATGAGCTCTGAAAAACAGTGTCCCCTGGGAGGAAACTGAGAAGCGGCTAAAATTCTGGTGTGGAAGATGGATACCATCAGAATTTACTGACAACTACTGAGCATATAGAGCACCAAATATGAGAAAAGCACTGGAGCTGAAACTAAGCCTCAAAATTTAAACTTGTCGAGCTTTGGCTTGAGCCTAACATCAATAGCCAAGCTCAAATGTAGGATTTTCAGCTCGTCTCGGCTAGCTAACACCATTAGAGGGAAGGTGTCGCATGAACTCTAATCGTTACCTTGCTTTTGTCAATTTCATTAGCTTTGCGCTTCATGACGTCCTTAGTTTCATTAATCTTGCTCTGCATCACCAACTTGTGCAATCTTTCCTCATGGCTCTCCATTTCACAATACTGTTTAACTTGTGCAACCGTAACATTCTCTTTATAACCCAGGGAAACAACCTCATCAAATGCAAAAATGTGCTCAAATGCTGTTTTACAAATACCCTCCTCATCTAGTGAATAACAATATTCAGGAACCTAAACAAAGTCAAGGAAGCCAATGAAATGTAAAAGTAGTTTAGGAAGCCTCCAAGACAACATTATTTGAATAAGNAGCTAACACCATTAGAGGGAAGGTGTCGCATGAACTCTAATCGTTACCTTGCTTTTGTCAATTTCATTAGCTTTGCGCTTCATGACGTCCTTAGTTTCATTAATCTTGCTCTGCATCACCAACTTGTGCAATCTTTCCTCATGGCTCTCCATTTCACAATACTGTTTAACTTGTGCAACCGTAACATTCTCTTTATAACCCAGGGAAACAACCTCATCAAATGCAAAAATGTGCTCAAATGCTGTTTTACAAATACCCTCCTCATCTAGTGAATAACAATATTCAGGAACCTAAACAAAGTCAAGGAAGCCAATGAAATGTAAAAGTAGTTTAGGAAGCCTCCAAGACAACATTATTTGAATAAGGATGTTTAGAAGGAATATGCATCTGAAATTATAAACAAAAAAATCATTATTATTGTTGTTAAAAATAGGATTTATTTACTTTTTTTGGGGGAGGGGGGCAACACCCGTCAAGTTTTCAGCATTAAGAAAAACATATAAAAGAAATAGAAGAGCAAAACTAATGTGGTAATAATACAAATAAACAAAGAAGAGGATACAAGTTTGGAGAGCAGTCTGAGGGTGTCCAAGTCATCTAGAATGTTGCTCTGTTTGTTAGTCACAAGCAGCAAATACAAACCCTCCATCGTCTGATAAACATAGCGCACATTTTCAGTCTCAACATATGTGTGTTGTTTTCCTGTTCCAACTAATTTGGGGAAAGCAGAAAGGTATCCCTCGATTCTTATTCGGGACATGTCAACATACTGCCTTGAAACAAGCACTGCAAGAGCATTTGACAATATGGTCAATGTTGCAATATTTTAGTAGTTAACATATTTACCCACAAACCAATTATCCTTATCTTGTTCTATGGCTGAAAAACATTTTTTAATCATGGCTACCCTCCTACCGCTATACACTCAGTAGGTCATTATTAAACAGACATAATGGTCATTCCAATTTTATCATGGTTTTTAGCCAATAAATTCCTTCCGACTTTTCACTTCTACACCTCTATCCAATTTGTTGACTGTCCTCGCCTCTTTTCTCCCTCTCTCCCTCTCTCTGTATGGGCCTAAAAGGATCTCATTAGAAGTATTAATAAAATAGTATCAATAAAATCAATTCCAAGTATAAACAACCTAAGGCCTTATTCAAAAACAGTATTGTAGCAGTCCTAATGATTCATTCTCAAGCTATAAATTAGAAAATCAATTCAATCAGCAGGGCTCGGGAATGTGATAGATCATTGAAATTATAAGAACAAAGGAAACTACCTTTCCCAGATTTGGTAATTATAGACACTGCGAGGACAGCCTACATAACAAAATCAAACAACAGCTCATAATCAAAAGCTACAAAAAGCAATCCAGCAAAACAGAATCGCTAAATCCAGTAAATGGGCATTCTCAATCACTGTCGTTTACATAAGAGAAAATGAGAGAGCAAAAAGAAAAAAAGAAAATTCACCATCTTGAGCCGTCGATCTTTGAAACGGGCGGTCGATCTATCTCAAGAATACAACAATGCCAGCTTCCTTCACTGATTTACCAGCCAAGAGTGCCTGAACAACATGCAAACAATCAATAACTTATCTGAGCAGTAGAATTAAGATCTTCATAGTAGTGTCGCGTACAGATCTATAGGTCTACGTTTCAGGTCACAATTTCCCGGAAACAGATCTAACAATTCATCAACTGATTGAATTCAAACAAAAAAAACATCAAAAAATGTGCTTCGTCTATGGCCATTTCAAACAAAACCTGATTTCCGTTTGAGGAATATTTGATCAAGATGGAAGAAGTTCGAGCGGACGAAGATGTGATCATACCTGGATGTGGTGGAAGAAGGGTGAATGATGATCGAATTACTGGAAGGAAGAAATGTGCCTCTGGTTGTGAATCTCGACACCATGAAGGTGATAGTCTGTGGGGCCTATTTTATTTAAACGCCAAATTGGATCTGAATATAAATATCATAAAAATATTGGATCTACTGCAAAAATTAGAAGATTAGTTATTAATTACGTAGTAAATACAAATGGTGGGGTTATAGTAACACCGGAGTACGATAACACTTCGGTGTCACTGTTATTTTGCAGTACTTCTGGTGCTCCGCTCGTAGAGTTGACGGTTCATATCCCCTAACCAACCCCTTAAACCCTCACCCTACCTCCGCCATTGCACTAAACCCCAATCATGCGGTAAGCCCCCCATACATTTTTTGGGGCGGGGGTAGGGTGGAAGTATAGGGAGTGGGTTAGGAGGATAGGAACCGTCAACTTTACAAACAGAGCATCGAAAGTGTCCCAAAATGACAGTGGCACCGGAGTGTCACCGTACTCCGGTGTCACTAGAACCCCACTGTTTAAAATATTAAAATACTACGTATGTAGTAATAGTGTAGTACTATTCCATAAATGTGTATATTCTACCAAACTCATATAAGAGTGTGTTTGTGGGTCTAGCAATATCAGATAAGCAATTACTCTGAATTTAGGTGAAATTCGTTTATACAATACATTTTACAATTTGTAAGTTACAATCCATAATCTAAACTTCGTTTACAAACACTTAAAATTGTAGTTTGGTGTAATAAAAGCTCAAAAATCATATTTCTAACATACTTTCATACACCCTCTAAGAGTGCTAACAAAATTATTTTGACGTAATAAAAATGTTAGAAACGACTTGGTCTAATTTTAATTTTACAATGTTTTTGACTAGATGAGCAAATGGCATGGGGAGCTTTTTAAGGCTCCTCCATCATTGAGAAAGTCTTAGGTGCTATTTGGGATAGTTCAGTTGACAATACAAATGAGTATCAACATATATTACACAAGCACATATGATATTTCATTCATAAAATTTATGATTTATATCTCTTACTCCCTCCGTCCCTCTGTATTTGTCCACTTTCATTTTTACACACCATCCAATTCACTTCTTTAATCCATTTTATCTTTCAATTTGTATATTAAAAAATTATAAAAATTATATATTAATAATCTATATGTTAAGACAAATCAAACAAGCTCACACATGACTATATTTAGACTTACACATTGAGAGAATTTGAGGAGTCAAAGTGCTAAGATGAACAGTTCCAAAAGTCAAATGTGGACAAACACAAGGGGACGGAGAGAGTATAATCTTGGCAAACACCTCTCTTAATTCCGATGGACCCCAATCAACTAAATTTACGAGGTGCATTTGACGAGTTTGGAAGATAAGCTTAGGACAGTGTTTGTTTATCAAAAAATGTGATATATCAATTTTGCAAATAATACATCGTGTGTGCGTTAAAAAGACTCGTATCTTGTGCTGGTACAATATACATGTGATAGACAATAGTATTTGACAACGAGATGGCTAGCAAAGACAATGGGACCAATGAGAAAAAATGATCAATGGTTAAACCTTCCATTTAGAAGATTTGTGATATCAAAAAATATCAAACTCATTATCTATTTTGGTTCACCAAAAGAATTTTAATTCCCTAGAGATACAAAAACTCCATATTTTTATTGCTCACCAAACACACCTTTAAAGTGCCAAAAGATTAAAACTTCATAGTACTAGTAATACCAAATTTGCTTGCTCAACATATTGTATGCTCTTGCAATCCTAAATTACCAAATACTTGGAATAACATTTTCAAAAATACTGCAAAAAAAAAAACATAGCAAAATTTCTTTTTTAAACACATGGTCCAATTTGGTGGAAAGAGCAAGCCATAAACGAAACATAAATAAACTAATCATCCGCAGGATAAATGAAAAAAACAAAGTTTCCACATAAAAAAAGAAAACAAAAATGCAGAAAAATCTCATTGCAACTGGCTTTCAAGAATTTAAGCTTTAACTCCACCATAGAACTTGGCCTTCTCCTGCGTAGTCTGGAAGCGACCATGCCCGAATTTGGATGACGTGTCAATGAACTTGAGCTTGATTTCCTCTGTTGCGACCCGTGAGGTTTGGGTCAGCAATGACTGCCTCAGGGTGACAACCCTCTTCTTCGTCCCGGCACAACAACCCTTTATCATGAGGTAATCTTCTTTCACAATTCCATAGTGTGGGAACCCTCCCATTGGGGTTATATCCTTCTCAGTCCTGAAGAAGATGATGATGATATGTAAAAGCACTTCATAAGTTAAACTTCAACACAAAACCCGGTTTAGACAAAACAAATCAGGTCAGTCATCAGTTGAATGAAATCAAGAAGCCTATGGGTTAGTTGCTTGAGTAAATTTTCTTTGCCTAAAAGAACAATTTGGTAAAACAGATTTAAACTTGGGAGGATTTTTATGTCCATAAAAGCTATAAACAAAATAAAAGCTTTTGTAACTAGCAAAGGGGTAATAACTAAATGGCTCCAATGGTTGCAATGGGTGCATTTTCTGAAGGAGAGAACATCCATTTTGTCCAAATAAGAGAACTGCTTATTTAGCTGACCTGTCATAGTCGGTCATGGCAGAATGAGACTCCTGGCCAGACTTCCCCAACTTATAAATTTTCTTGTTAAGCTCTGTGCGGTGATGGTAACCGTTCTGACCAGCTCGGGCAACAGTGTATGAAACCCTAGCAGGATGCCATGCACCAATACAAGCAACCTTACGGAGCCCACGATGGGTCTTACGGGGAAGACGAGTTACACCCCAACGAGTGACAACACCCTCAAATCCTTTACCTTTGGTCACACCAATAAGGTCAATCATCTCATCTTTTTGGAAAACAGAGTCCACTGGAATCTGCTTTTCAAAGAAACCATATGCATAGTCAACCTTCTGAGCTACTGTCCCACCATTAACTTGGATCTCCATCAAATGTGCCTTCTTTTGCTTAAGACCTGTCATCTTTCTTATCTGTAAAAGAACAAATAAGGAATTTTAGGTAACTTTATCCTGAGTAATTGTTTTTACTTTTCAATCCCAGTTATTTAACACTGTTTTATGATCCAGTTAAGGGTCCATTTGAAAAGGGGGTAAACATTTTCCAGTGTTTGGATGTTCTGAAAAAAAAGAATCAATAGAAATTGATTTTTACAGTATGATCCTTATTTGGAGGAAAACAATTTCCTTTTGTTTTTGACAGAAGAAATTTTCCACCCTTCTCCTATCATTTGATAAAAATTTCATTTATTTATGTTATAATGGGAAAAACTAGTTTTTCTTTTTCCAAACTTTCAACCAAACACATGAATAAGAATTTATTTCCCAAAAGTCATTGTCTCCCTTCATTTTTCGGAAATCATTTTCCAAAAGTTGTTTCCATCTTTCCAAATGGACCCTAAAAGATATATGTACAGGAAGTGCAAATGTAAATAGGCCAAAATCAAGGAGCAAATGGAATTGAAGCAAACACAGCTACCTGGGTATGAGCCAACACCCTAACAACAGAGCAGTACTTCTTCATCTTCTCTAACTCAGACTGCATGACCCTTTTGCCATCTTCAGTTTCAAGTGTTTTTGAGTACTTGGTGAAAGCCTTCTTCTTTGACTTGAACCAGTTCTTATAGAATCTCCTTCTCACCTCCTCACTAAGATGTTGAGCCCAGACTGTATTCAGACAGCGAAGACCACGAGGAGTTATGACATAGCCTACCACCCCAACCACAACCATTGGCGGGGTTTCAATTATAGTCACGGCTTCACATGTCTCCTTCTTGTGCAGCTCTTTACACATAAAACAATCATTAGAAACACAAGAAAGGTGATTATTTTGGAACACAAATTGAGATCAGTGATCCCTGAATCTTCATCCAGCATTAATTTTCACACAGTATGAAGGAATTGGGAAAAAAACTATAAAAGCTGAGTAAAAACTTACTAGATCCAGGTTTTTCAACCTCTCTCACAATGTGAGTCATACCAGCTTTATAGCCAACAAAAGCTGTTAACCTACATGGCTTTGTAGGATCATCTCTGGGGAATGCCTTCACTGCGTACATACCACAAAGGATTGTCAATGAAAAGGAAATTTTTCCTTAAAGAAACTGCAGGTTTGTTTGGTACTATACAATTGAAGACCATAACTCATAACTAAACTAATTGGTATAAAAAAAAGCCTTCAAAGCAACCCAGACGCAAATAACCATACACAATGAACCATAAGTAGTTTTACTAACCCTTAATCAAAGCATGAAATCAATCATGGCACGTGTATGAAAAAGGCATGCAAAAAGAACAGTGAAGAATTCAATGATAAAAGCTTGAACTCAATAAGGAAAACACCTTCAACTGCCAGAAAATCATATCACCATTGAGAGTAAGAACAGATAAGCCACTGAATTTTAATATGGTAAAATAAAGATACGAACATATTAAGGCATTAGAAAGATAAAGAAATAGTCAGATTTAAAACCCATCTTACAAAGAGCAATGCATAATGAAATTAAAATACAGAAGATGCAATCTAAAATAAAACTATTTTATAAACCTTTTCCTCTGTGGCGTGATGCTCTCTTCCTAGGAAGAAATCCCAAAGAGCCATGTCTTGGATGCTCGAACTTGCGATGAGACATAGTTTTCCTTGTAGTTGCTGAACAAAAACTCCAAAACCTTAATTCAAGTGCCTGAAGTGAACCTAGTTGATGGAATCCTTTATATTATGTGCAAAACTAATCATATGTCTAGATTTGTTTTGCTAGAAATTAAGCAAATGTTTAGTAAGAAAACAAATTAACAAACATTTTGTTACAAAAAAAGGTAAACACTCTTCACCACAAAATCATTTATTCCCAAATTTGAAATTTTAAAGCTTGTTAAAAAGAACCTCCCATGTTCCTGTGATAATACCAATGTTTGTAAATAGGGGAGATTGTACTAAGTGCTAGGTAGTGCCAACCATCTGAATTGGCTCCAGGCCAAAATGGGACATATGTGAAAAATGGACAGTTTAAGTTGAAAATCATGTGATTTCCACATCATTCAATAACAACTAAAAATACACCCTTACCAAAGGCCTATGGCTTATAATACGAGCCAATTCTCTGGGTTCTGCTGTACTTCTTTGCAATCCCCCCAACAAAGTGGGGTTATGTGCAAGAGAACCCTTAAGAGACTCCAGCCTTGATCGCAAATAGAATTTTTTAGGAGTGCATTTCAGTAGTCACTAGAAATCAGTGGAAAACCAAATCATCACCTTTTATAGAAAATATAAATTTGTTCATAATCTTTATTAAAATAAACCACGTTTTCCTACACCTTGAAGTGACAGTATATGATATATCAAAAATCGTACTTTTTCCAATACAATTACCGCCTCACGGAAATCTATTCAACGCCAAGACTAAAAACATTAATGTATAATTGACAAAAAATCTAAATCGAAATTCTTCTAATTCGAGCCAAAAACATGCTGTGAGTAACCCGATCTGAGATATCAATTAAAAAAAAACAGTTCTTATTAAAACAAAAAAAAAATAAGGCTTAGCAAAAGGAATCGAATCAATAACAAAATTCACAATATTTGTAAAACTGATGCTAGAAATCCAAATCTGCAACCATGACAAGCAAAATTAAGCTTTTATATGTCTAATTATGTCTAGGAACAAATGATATGGGAGAATCAGATTTTACGTTCACGATGTTACCTCCCGAGATCAGACACGCCGCAACGAAGACTGATGAAGGGTTTTTGGTGTTCCAATTGGAACTAGATTCGATGTTTATATAGCAGCACGGTGGGTTTGTGTGTCAGTGTGTGTAGCCGGTAGCGGATTGCGTGATTTCTGAAGAGCCCATAACGGCCCATTGTACAAATGGGTTTGGTTTTCTTAAAATATAGATTGGCTATTCGCAAACTTATTATTTATATACTACCTCCATTCTAGAATATTTATCCACTTTCATTTTTACACATCATCCAATGCACTTCTTTAATCTATTTTATTTTCTCATTTGTATATTAAAAAATTATAGAAATTATATATTAATAATCTATATGTTAAGACAAATCAAACAAGATCATACATGACTATATTTAGGCTTACACATTGAGAGAATTTGATGAGTCAACGTGCTTAGATGAACAGTTCCAAAAGTCAAAAGTGAACAAAAACTGGGGGACGGATGGAGTACTTTTTAATGTGAATAAAATAATTTTAAGTCATTAAAAAATGAAAATTTAAATACACAAATAGCAAATTTGTGTAGTTTGTATCTAAATTATTTGTGACTTTAGCATTACTCTTTTGGTTTTATAAAATTAGTTAATTACTCCCTTTGTCCCAAAATGTGATCAATATTACGCTAAATGAAATAAATTTTTAAATTTTTAATCCATTTTATTTAAAGAATGGTATACAAATAAAGAATAAAATTTACATATTTAAAAATCACGTCAAAAGTTCTACAAAATAAGTGGTGACAATGGAGGGAGTATTTCTTTTGATCCCTCTGAATTTTTTTAAATTGAATTATCTTTGCAAAATTATCATTTTTTAAAATAATCCTCCCTCGATTTAGATGTATTTATTGATCTCGGTAAAATTTAGAGTATTATTTTACTTCTTTAAAAAATTGATTCATTCGTAATTACTTTTAAATTACTAAATACGGAATACCTCGTATTTCCATTCCATCGGATCTTTTGTTACAATCCGGTAACGATACAATTTAAAAGACCAAAAATAAAACTCACTCATTTTACATTGATCGAAATATATTTAACCCCAAAAGGTTGTAAATTCTGGTTTAACTAATTTCTAAAAGTTTTGTTTATTACGGAGTACTTCTTACTTTAATACGCAGTACAATTCAGTACTATTTATTATTGTTGGGAAATGAAATTTGCACTCTATTTTTTGATATTGATAGTTTAAATTATACTATTCACTCGCTCACATTAATAATATATTTTGGGATTTCAATATAAACAAGTGAAGTGTAGATATTATTTCTTTTTAAACTTTTATTTTATTTGTAGTTGCAAAATTTAATTTGGCCCGTAATCAATGAAAAAAATGACGGGCTAACAAGCAACAAGTTGTGATGCAACTACCTTTTGAATAGCAATCCCGACATTACTAAAAAACAAAATTATGGACTTTAAGGGTCAACACATTATTACGTACAACTTGCAGGATACTGTCAAAAATTTCACATCCTTTTAAGCTAGATAACCAAATATGTCAAAGGCAAATAGGAAATATACATGTTGATTTTCTAACCAATATTTTTCTCATATTTAGCAAATTTGTCTAAATTTGACCCGAAAGCAAAAGATGAGATATCTCGAAAGGCTGAATTCACGTTATCTTACATTTCTCAACATTGTTTACAAAAAAGTTTGATGTATATCAAAATTTGCATCCACACTTGTATAATAAGTTTATCATAGACATGAAATCTTTGAATATCCATGACACACTTGCTAACACAGCTCTGTATTTTTTTTATAAAAAATTAAATTATTCAGAATAATTCTAAATTTTTTTGTACTTTTAAAAATAATAACACATTTTACTGTGATGCATAGTTATCTCAACTTTATTGAAATCTGCGAGCTTTAGATCCCCGTTAAGTTGCTAATAGTGTATTAATGGAAATGACTTATTTTGTGCAACGAAATGAAAATTGAGTTTATTTTTGATGAAATTTTGTTTTTTTTTTAAATTTCATTTAATTTTTAAAATGACTTTATACTTTCATTGGTTTTTCTTTTTTTTTAAAGATTGGTCTTACCTTATAAAAGATAAAAAAATAGATTGAAAAACAATGAAAATGAGAAAAATAATTAAAATCATACAAAATTAATGAAATAAATAGAGTAATGAATAGAAATTAAACTTAAACTCACAAGGAATAACATAAAAATATAAGAAGTTATGGATTCTAACATTTTATGCACTAAACAGAGTATTAATGTACTTCTTTTTATTTTTTGAATAAGTAGATAAAATTAAAATTATTCTTGATAATTTTTCTTACAAAATAAGAAGTGGTACATTAATATTTTGTATAGTACGTAAAATGTTAAACCATATATTTTTATTTTATTTTTACCAGTTTGAGGCTAGTTTCTATTGATTACCTTATTATTTTAATTTAATTAATTTGTTTGATTTTAGTTACTTTCCTAAATTTCTTTATTTTTTATATGTATTTTTTATTCTTTTCTCATGTAAGACTAATTTTTTTAAAAAAACCATGGAGGTAGAAATTAATTTTTAAAATTTAAATAAAAAATAAAAATAAAATTCATAAAAAATACTCCGTAATCCTTATATTTTGTTGCGCAAAATATGTCATTTTCGTTAACCCGCTGTTAGGAGCTTAACGGTGACCCAAAGCTCGAAAATTTTAATAAATTTAGGATTTAAGATTATTATAATCACAGTGAAAGGAGATTATTTTTGAAAAATTGAATTAGTTTAGATAATTTTTTTAAAAATCGAGTTCATTTTTTTTTGGAAAAAATATCAATTTGAAATTAAAAAAAGCAGCTAGGTGGAAGAGGGCCGTCCGCGCCAACGACGGGCGAAAAATCACACCCATCAGCATCGGAGAAACTCAACGGCGACCACGAACAGGAAGATCAGAGTGCCTTAGAGAAGTAAATGAATCCGAACCCTAGAATTCAGAGGTACATGATGGCGATTGAGTCCCTGGGAACTCGCTTCGCCGGCGCTCAGCAACAATCAGATTGCCTAACCTTCCACGGAGCTCTGGAGGTAATTTCATCACCAATACTCCGAAACAGAATAAATCCGTCCTTTGACCGCAATATTTCGAACCTTTTTATTTCGTTCACAGGGAGTGATCGAGTTTGGATTATTCTTGTATTTTTCCTGAGATTAATTCTTTCAGAACTATAATCAACCCGTGCTGGTTTCAAAAAAAAAAAATACTATTGGACAGCAGGTATCAATATTTTGTTCTAGTTAAACTGAATGTTTCTTCATGTTTATTCTGCTACTGGGAAACTGGAGACATATAAATTCCTAATGTGTATTTTATCTAAAGGTTAATAGGTGATCATTCCACATTTGGTTTTCATCTTGGCCCTCGTCTTTGAAACTGACAATTTCGGCCCCCCTGCTATACGACTATTGAGAAGTTCAGAGTTTTGGTCAATCGTTAGGATTTCTTGCTGTCAAACAAATGACAACTCTAATGCTTTTAAGATAAAATTCAAACAAAAAATAAAAAGTTTTTAAATGTAAGTATTGAATGTAAACCCTAAAAAATACGAATGGAACTTCTGCTGATTGAGTAGGTTATGGTCAATTGGTCACTAGGATTAAGTGGTCAACCAATATAAACAGAAAATGATGCTATGATATTTACTACTCGGTACTAGGTATCGTGAGGGGTACAATCAGTACATAAAGAATAGATTACATAACAATCCAGAGCGTTAAATATTTATTAGTACATCTATTATCCCCGCAAGCTGATCTGTGACCAGGGGCAACTTGAAGTTCAGCTGACCAAATGGAACCAGTGGAAATCGTTGTCTGAATATGAGTCAGTTGACAATTAGATGCAACATGTTTCATGTGATCATGAAGTACACGGTTCTTGGTGAAACAGCTGGTAATTCATTGTCATAATAGGGGTGGTGAGATACTGAAGCCCTATAACCCCTGCAACTCGAGCACCCATAACTTTGACACCATGATGCAATATAAGGTCTTATTTATTATGAGGTGCACAACGAGTATTTATAAGAAAACATAAAGACTGAATTACACAATAACCAGAACTATAAATAATTTTAAGTACACCTATTAGTAGGATATAGATCTTCTTCAGTTTCATGTCCAAAAACAAAAACCAAAACAAAAAAAGACACACATAGTGACATAGGGTCCATCATCATCTAAGGACACCAGGGAACTTAGCTGGACATTATTATACTGGGAGGAACAACAGTAAATCATTGTATACGTTTGTACTTCCAAATTAGCTTCTGCTTCTTCCATTCCTGATGAACATGTTCTTTATCTTTTGCAGCTCAACTATGACATCCTTTATGTCCATCCTTTCTTGTGGCGACTCCATTGAACACACAACCCCGATTTGAACCAAAGATGCCACACATGCATTTCTGACTTCATCTCTGATTTGCCTTCCTTGCCAATGGTCGGTTACTGAATCATCTTCTGGTCCATCATTTAGAAGAACTGGATCCACAATGGCCACCACACGATTAGGTAAGGCCAAGCTGGCATGACTATGGAGATTTTGTCCTTCCTCAAAAATTGCTTCAGTTGGCCTCTTTCCTGTCATCATCTCCAACAACAATATCCCGTAACTGTATACATCTCCGTATGTTGATACCTTGCTTCCAAGTCCATATTCTACATTTGCAGCTTAATTAAGTGTTTGATAGAAAAACATCTTCTGGTGTACAAAATGTATGTAGCTTGGAGTTAGATGAAACGAAAAAACACAGGTGCAAAGATTGTTATGTTTTTACCTGGAGCTGCATACCCAACTGTTCCTCTCACCCCAATAGAACTGCTTTCGTTTGAGGTTGAGAGTCCTGAGAGAAACTTCACAAGCCCGAAATCACTGACATGAGCAGTCATGTCTGCATCAAGAAGAATATTGCTGGGTTTTAGATCACAATGAATTATTTTGGTTGGGTTATGGTGATGAAGATAGTCCACTGCACAAGCCACATCAATAGCGATGTTGATTCTCTGAAGAAGCCCAAGTGTTTGAGATTCAACTTGCCTATCATTCACCTGGTGCAGCCAGGTATCCAAGCTTCCATTAATCATGAACTGATAAACAAGAGCCTTGAACTCATTGCCTTGAAAGTCAACAGAGGAGCAACAGGTGATGACCTTGACTAGGTTCCTATGGCGAATAGATGCCAAGGCTTTGCACTCGGCCAAGAAACTCTTGGCAGCTTTCTTGTTTTGAAGCTTAAGGACTTTGATGGCAACGAATTCTCCTAATTTATCAACGGTCCCCTTGTATACAGAACCAAAGTTACCTTCACCAACCAAGTTTGCAGAAGAGAATCCATCAGTTGCTTCAAGGAGATCATTGTAAGACACTTGAGCTAGTTCTTTCATCAACACGGTTGTAGAAGACTCTTGGACATTCCTCCTTTTGACCATCCAAAAAATTGAACATGTCAAAAGTGCTGCTCCTAGAAAAGCACAAGAAAGGGAGATGATAATATTAACTACAAGATGCATGTTTTTTGGCTGCGAGCATTTGGGCAATCCTAGTTCAGAAATGCCCCCACAAAGCTTTGTATTTCCAGCAACTGATATACGACTGGCATTTGCAAACACCCCTTTAGATGGTACATCACCCTCAAAATTATTGAAGGATAAATTTAGATATGCCAAGTGAAGAGTCTCCAAGGAGTTAGGAATTCGCCCAGATAACTTATTATGTGAGATATCAATGAATTCCAATTCTTTCATAGAACTTATGGATTGGGGAATCGACCCATTAAGGGAGTTAGCTTGCATGTGTAAGATTTGAAGTCTAGTGCAAGAAGTCAAGCCTTTTGGAATTTCACCGGAGAGCCTATTATGTGACACATCAAGTTTCACAATGTTCTTAAGGTTACCAAAATCGAGAGGTATAGATCCAGCCAAATGGTTGCCACTCAGGTTCAACTTCAACAAAACTGGCTGAGAGGACGTGCCAAAAATTTGCTGTGGTATGGATCCAACAAGTTCATTTTGAGAAAGATCTAAGGCCGTCAATCTCTGGCATTGGCCTAAACTAGGTGGGATAGTTTTCTGCAATTTGTTTTTCTTCAGATGAAGCTCATCCAAAGAAGTTAGATTTCCAAGAGAAGAAGGAATCTCGCCTGAGAGTTCGTTGCGAGCAAGGGACATATATTGTAGATTGTGAAGCTTACCAAATTCTGCCGGGATTGAACCTTCGAAGTAGTTGTATCCTATGTCGAACAAGTATAAGCTGACAAGGTTTCCTATCCCTGAAGGAATATCCCCATATAACTGACTACTGAACACATTGAATCGAGTAAGTTTTGTGGAGAGATTAGCAATGGAACTAGGCAGAACCCCTATGAATGGATTGAGGCTAAAATCTAGGATCTGCAGATTGCTACACTTCACTAAAGAATTCAGAAAGTTCAATTCATCAGGTTCCCCTTTGCCCAACCAATTATCCCCCAAATTTAAGTCCGAAAGCTTAGGCATGCCTCCAAAATCAACTAAAACTTTTCCGGAGAAATTGTTCCTAAAAATCTCAAATTCTTGAAGATTTGAAGCATTGGACAGTGACACTGGAATTGGCCCACTGAACAGGTTTGCAGAGATATAAAAGATTTCGAGATGAGGAAAGAAAAGCCCAAAGTTTTGTGGAAGACTGCCATGTAGACGATTCAGAGATGCAGAAAAAATATTAAGGGAGGAAAGGTTGTATATGGATGGAGGAATGATACCAGACAAGCTGTTATCGCTTAGTCTCAGTGCTGTCAAGCTCTTCAACCCACCCAATTCATCAGGAATCGTTCCTCCAAGCGAGTTATGTGCCAGAGATAACTCTCGAAGCGAAGTAAAGTTTCCAAGAAACGATGGGATGCCTCCCACCAGATGGTTTTCATGCAATTCTAAAACTTCGAGTTTGGTCATGAATCGAATCTCAAAGGGAATCTTTCCAACCAGGTTGTTATGTCCTAGGTGTAGAAACCTAATGTTGATGCAGCGTGATAGATTTGCTGGGATATTTCCAACCAAGGAATTATTCATTAGAAGTAGACTTTGTAACCTTAAAAGATTACCCAACTCGCTGGGGATTTCACCACGGAGAGTGTTGTTATGGAGGGGTTGATTTCCCTGAGGAAGCTAAGGTTGCCCAGTGAAGGAGACAAGGACCCCTCCAAACCCATTGAGTTTAAGTCCAGTTTGGTCACTCTTCTATGCCTTCGACCACAAGTAACACCTCCCCACTCGCAGAAATGGAGAGATTTGTTCCAGGAGTTCATGGCTCCATGAGGATCATGAATCTTCGACTTGAAGGCGAGCAAAGCTGCAGAGTCTGTGTTGTTGCTGCTGCTAGCGAATGATTTCGGGGCAGAGGGGATGAAGATGAAGATGATGCAATACAACAGGGCTGTTTGAAAGAAATGTGAGCAGAATACCAATCCTGAACTCATTGTGAAATGAAATCTAACTCTGGTTTTTTTTTCCTGTTCAATAAAGGATTCAGTAATTTCTTCCTTAATATGGCCAAGTTTTCACTCTTATGTAGTGAGGCATATGCTTTTTACATCATGGGAGACATATGCTACATCGTACATCTTGGACGAAAATTCTTCCCCTGGGACACACACTGTGAGCTCAATTGATGACACCCATGCTAATGGACAAAATAGCTAAAGAAAGTAATGAAAGGACATGACAATGGGTGTCATCATGTTTTTGTACTATTATGTCATAATAATCATAACAACAATAATAATAAACATAATAATAATAACCATAATGATGATGATGATGATGATGATCATAATAATACTCCGTAATACTTCTCCATCTCAATTTTGATTACAATTTTATTTTCTCTCTCTTCTCGATAAAGTAGGTACTTTGATGGACCGTTTGGTGATTTTTGAGGTATAAAATGAGTTTTGAAATACCTAGTATAGGAAAATTAATAGTACTTCGTATGAGTTTTGAAATTTAAAATTAAATTGTTTGGAGAGATTTAAATTTCATAAATGATTCCTATTTATTACTCCATCCATTCCATATTAACTGTCCATTATGACTTTCTTGGTACATTAAGAAATGAATGAATGTAGACATAAATAAAAAAATATTTGGTCATATGTGGCCTGATCTAAAGGACAAATCATGGAATAAAATTGTATAAATTATATTGATGGCCACAAACGTAATGTCTTAGAGTTGAAGATTAAATATGATAAATTACATGTTATAATAATCATTTTTGAAATTTACTTATGACTTAATTAGTGATTGGCTGGGTGACTAGCAGAGTGATAGTTGCACGTGGGATAAATTTCACGTATGGTACTTGAACTTTAAGCTATTTTTCGTTTTGATATCTGAATTTCATTTTTTTCACAAAAATACCTGAATTTTATTTTCTTTCACAAAAATACCTGAATTTCGTGAATTTTTTTTAAAAATTCACATGTTTTTGTGAAAGAAAATAAATTTTATTTAGCAAAATGAAAATAATTGAAAGTTAAGGTATCATAGGTGAAATTTATCTGCCGGTGGTGGGGTGACCAACTCAGGACCTTACTTTTTAAAAATTTGTGATATCTATAGAAATCTGGATTCTTTTACATTATGCTTGAGAATTAAAATATGGATTTCAAATCTAGATTTGACTTTTATGCTTGGAAAGTCTTAAAATTTTAGATTTGGATTTTAGTCAAATTCTTCTAATATATTACAAAATGAGTAAAGTGCATTGTTTACCCCCGTACTCTTTGGAAATTGCATACTTTACCCCTGAAATTTAAAAAGTGCACCGATTACCCTCGAACTCTTCAAAAATTGCACGATTTACCCCTACACAATAAAAAATGCACCAAATACCCTTAAACAAATTAAACCGTTGCATCGTTGGTTCTAAAATATTAGTTAGGGAATAGGGAGTGTCCACAAAAATTGCGAATATTATTCATATGGCTCTTGTGAATTTTCTAAAGTACCTTTACCCAAAATTGTCATTTTTATTTAAATGTTCGGAAGTAAACAGTACAATTTTCGAAGAGTTCAGGGGTATTTGGTACAACTTTTATTGTTCAGGGATAAACCGTGCAATTTTTGAAGAATTCAGGGGTATTTGGTGCACTTTTTAATGTTCGGGGGTAAACCATGTTATTTTCAAAGAATTCGGGGGTAAACGGTGCACTTTTCTTTATTACAAAATTCTATTGCAAATCCATATGCCTATTGAGTAATTTGAAATTTTGAAATTGAAATACAATAATTAAAGAAATATTAATTTCTAAACACTATAAAAAAAGGAATTCCAAACACTAACTTAAGAGTGATTTGGTGAGTAAAAATATGGAGTTTGATATCTCCATAGTATATCGTAATCTTTTTTTGGTGTTTGGTGAAACCAAAATAGATATCAAATTTGAGATATCCGAACATTATAAATCTTTCATGTAGAAGGTCTTCCGAAATTTGTGTGATATCAATATGAGGATTTGATATTTTTCTCAACCGTTGGTCATTCTCTGTCACCAGCTACCGTTGTTACCGCTAGCCACTCATGTTGCTCGTCACTCCCGATTACCACTAACTACATCGTGATTTGAAATCATTCCAAACAAATTCATTTCAGATTTCAAAATTGATATTATTCCTACCAAATTTCATCATAATTTATATTTCGAAAATTCTACTTGTATCCCATATTTGTATCCCAGTGTTACACTTACATCCTTAGGTAAAGCCAGAAAAGGGGTGCTAAATAATTCGAATAACACATCTCATGCGTTCGCCAAACTGGTTTTACGATAAAAAAAATCAAATTAAGGGAGAAACCCCCCTGAAGCAGCGAGCAAGTGGGACTGGGACGACCCAAAATCGCCGCCAGCGCCAATGACGGCCGAAAAATCACACCCATCGGAGACCTCTAAACATTCGTTCGATCAACGAGCTGAATCTCCACAACGGCCTTCGAAAGTCGCAAAGCTCAACGGCGACAGCGACGTCGAAGAGGAAGATCGGAGTGCCTTAAGTTCGAGCGTGAAGCGAATGATTCCGAACCCTAGAATTCAAAGGTACTTGATTGCGATTGAGTACATCGGAACTCGCTTCGCCGGCGCTCAGCAACAATCCAATTGTCGAACTGTCGTCGGTGCTCTGGAGGTAAGTCCCCTCTCTTGCCGCCTTATTTCGAACTTTTTGTTTTGTTTAGCTCATTGGGAAGAGCTTGGAAATGATAATGATCAAGTTTGAAAAATTCTTGTAATTGTTCTCTGATTAACTTTTGCAGAACTATTATCAACCCACGCTGGTTCTCAATCTCACCTCGTTTTGTTGCTTGATACAGGAAGCTTTTAAAAATTTTATTGGACAGCCCGTATCAATATTTTGTTCAAGTCGAACTGTAAGTTTCTTCATATTTATTCTGCAAATTGGAAACATATGTATGACTAATTTGATCTGAAAGAGATTATTCCACATTTGGCTTCATTTTGGCCCTCGTCTTTGAAACTGACAATTTGGGTCCCCTACTATAACACTATTGAGAAGTTCAGAGTTTTGGTCATCTGCTAGGATTTCATGGGAACAGACAAATGGCAACCCAATGCTTTAAAGATAACTAGACTTTTATTGTAACTTGTAAGTATTGGATTTGAACTCCCAAAAAAATATGAATGGAACTTCTGCTGATTTAGCAGATTATGGTTACATGGATTAAAGGGTCAACCAAAATAAACAGAAAATAATGCTAACATATTTACTAGTATCATTTATTGCTCAAGTTGGCCTTTAGAGACAACCTAAATCCAAACAAAGGCTCAAATTTGGAAACTTTTTAGTACTACATTACAACCAAAAGTTGTTTATTTGAAAGACAAAGAACAAACCCAGACAAACACTTTAGTCAAGACTCAAGAGACTAAAAGTTGAGTATTCCCCTTTAGCTAACAATTTTGAGCAATTTGTTTTAGGATGCAGGAGTACATGCGTTATCAAATGTTTGTCATGTAGATGTGGAAAGGATAAGCAAGCGGAAACCTGGTGAAGTGGTATGTTATCTTTTAATCCCACCTTTTGCATTTGTAAGGTCTCTTAGGCCTTCTTTTTGGGGAGTAGGAGGGGTGGGGTCGGGGGCACCCTGGAGAGGAGGGGAGTTTTGTCATAGTTTTATCCGTACTAATTTTCTCTATTTGCTAGTCTTAGACTTTCCACAAGCTCACAAAGTAAGCCACTAAGCACCATAATGCATTGTAATCTCCATATCACCCACTACTCCATATTATTGAGCTTGAATGCACAGATGAGAGACTTTCTAGTTTCTACAAGTCATAAAGTGCCCTAGAAATGTCCGGTTGTGTGCCATAATGTTCTGCATCTTCAAATGGAAAAAGGTTGAATATCTACTTCTTGTAGTTTTGTTCCTTTTTAAGGATTCCTATTATCTCTTAAGAGATTGAACGTTTGAGCCTCAGGTTTAGGTTTGTCTATATCCTTTCTCCCTTCATCCACCTGAGTATTATCTTTTTTCTGAAGTAAAGGTAAGGACTTCAGATGCATTAATAAAATAAGTAAGAATAGTGATTCTTAGCAACTGTACCTGTACAAAATTTTCTTTGATAAGAAATGCATCTTGGTCAAACATGGCTCTTATTGTTTAACACTCTTGTAGTATTTTAGAATGTTGAAGTAGGTATCATACTATCATTATAGAAGTGTAGAGTAGCTGAATCAATTACCCCTTTCATATAGCTGTCGTTTATTTACTAGCCAATGTATATAGATGTTGAGCCATCACATGATGCAATAATTGCAATCCCCTTCAACAACTTTATGATTAGTATACTTTTGTAAGTAATACAGTACTTATTAGGAGCACAATATTTGATATTTTACAAAAGTACTCATTTCTGTATTTATGTTTGCACCTTGGTATTCTTATCATGACTTCTTTGTACATTTTCTACATGTACTTGTACTCTGCTGGCTTTTATAAAATTGATGTATTGCATTGGTTGCAAGTATCACACTAGATCATTGACCTGTTATCAACTTTGTCCATAAATATCGTGAAATAGTCACACGTTTATTGAAATGAGGCGAGTTAGTGAGATGAACATAACGACAAAGATGCTTGGGACTCATGTTGGTGAACTTCTTGAGCACCACATTTTAAAGCTTGCCAGAGTCATTTATCATTGGTAATATAAGGGTTTTTTTTGGTAGGTAGGCTTACCCCACTATTTGCTAACTCAGATCTCTTGCTTTGAACTGAACATTAGCCTTTCAGGACTTGATTTGGAATTTTGTTTACTTCCTGCAACAGATGCAGAGTTAGGATATGTGATAATTAATGTGTGCAGCTTTTTTTAGTATGCCAACTCTTACTTTAATGCAGTTACCGCCCCATGAACCTGAAGTGGTTAAAAGAGCTGTGAACCATTTTTTACAGGTCTGTCTTGTTTATCCAAGAGATTCCTCTTATATTATGATTATCTGCTTCCCACTTTCATAGGCTGATATCTGAATCTTTTATTTTGCCCCTTAACTCCTGCTCAATTTTTAAAGTACTATGTCCCATAAATGAGTCCTTCACAAAACAACAATAACCTCATTGAATTCCACAAAAGCAGGGTCTGGCATGGGGAGGGTGTGTGTACCCAAAAGTAGAGGTTGTTTCCAAGAGACCCCGAGCCCTTAAAAAGTGTAACATTATTAATTTTAGTAAGGTACAGCTACTTGAAATGATCAATTATATCAATATATTATAACTAAAGTTAACATATTTAAGTTGCTAGGGATTTTTTTTTTTGAAAATTAAGCTAACATTTAATGCAATGAAAATTACCTTTTGTTTAAATATGACCCTTTTGGCTAAAAAATAAGGGTCCAGATATGAATATTTTTTCGATGCAGCAAGTATTATATGCTCCTTAGAATCTTTTAGATCATTGTGCCATAAATGATCATAGAATATTGGAAGGCCTCAAATTTTAGATGCATGTCAAATTTGAATTTTGTCAAATTTTAATAGTTCATCTTTAGCTGATGTAAATTGCACTTAGTTAATTTTATTTGAATCCCCCACCCCCAAAAAGAAACAATCCTGACAACAAAGCCACCATTCAGCAGTTTGTAAGTTTCTTGACACGGAAACTTCACAATTCACATTTCCATGTTTGATACACTAGAGATTGATGAACTGCTAACAATCTTGCTATGCTGCAGAAAAATGAGGGTGATATAATGGTCATTGATGTTTGCAGTGTTGCAGCTGATTTTCATGCCAGATATAAAGCTAAGGAACGAACGTATGTATCAAAATAGATGATATTCAGGTATGATGCTATGTTGGTCCCATAAATTAAGAGGGTGGAAAATAAGTCCCTTTGATTTTATTTTCCTTTGGGAAATTTAGACATATGACTTTTTAAATGTTGAGAATCTTTGTCCCAAAGTCGCCCTAAAAATGGGGCTTGGAATGTTGGTGTAAACGTGCCAATTCCATCAAATTAAAACACCACACATGCATTAAAAATGCTAATTGCTCGTCTTTTGTCATTTATTCACAAAATGCATTTTGATATTTTAAAATTTAGTAGAAGTTCAAGTCACAACCAATTCCATAGATTGCCAATTTGAATAGTGAACATTTCAGTTTTACCTGGATTTGGGAATGGGTACTAGATTTTTAACGTTTTGAGAGTAATTGGTCTATATTGTCAAAAAAAATAATCTAATGGGACTAATTTTGCCTATCCTTATAGTTAGGGGGACCAAAAATGCATTTTACCCATCTTTGCTTTTATCACCATACATTTATGCCAACTTGCATTTTGTGTGTGAGGCAGGATACTGCAGTTTCCCTTATTAGCCTGTCACTTGTTTTTTCCGATACAATAGTTTTGTTAGAAGTTTACACATGAGTGTGAGTTTGTTCTGATATTAGATCTTCTGTTCAATTATAAAAAAATTCTGTATAGTTTAATCCATGATAGGTTTCCTTAGAGATTACTCTTATCAGTTTTCATTTGATTTTCCTTGCTATCAACATTTGGATTTGTCTTTTTTCATACCTCGATGAATTGTGTAGATTTATTACTACTAACATCATGATGCATTCTTGAAAATTTACTTTTAGGTACTTTTATAGGATTTTATCTGGATCTGAGCCTTTATCAACCTTTGAAAAAGACCGGGCTTGGCATGTACCTGAGGAGCTAGATCTTCTCTCTATGCAGGTTTATTCATTAAAATATTTCATCAAATTACATTTTGATATCACCTTGGCTCTCTGAGTTTGAAAATTATTTGTCTGATTTTCTTCAGCAAGCGTGCAGAATTCTTGCTGGACATCATGATTTCAGTTCCTTTAGAGCCGCTGCATGTCAGGTTAGTATTATCATAAGATCTGCTTAGTGATTTTTTTTTTGTTGATTCCTTTTTTTTAAAGGCTCAACCTTTCTTTTCTTGGATAAGGTATTGCATATTTCTGGTGATTTATGCTTTTATTCAATTTAATCTCTTTGATATTTTTTTAAATGTTGTGGTTAATCATGCATGACGAGAAGTAGAACTTATGAATTGTTAATGGGTGCTTTTTGGTAAATATAGCACTGCGCCATCCCAAAAGAGCCTCATTTGGTCAATGTGTAACTTTTTATTAATTGTAAGTTACAACTGTCCTAAATATTGGACAAGGCGTAGATTTGAAAAGCTTGGAGTCCAGCCCATTACATATAGTAGCCATTATTTTCTGATAAAGGAAGTGTATTAGTTTTTAGAAAGTAAGAAGCTGTTAGCCAAAAAAGTCATAACAACAAAAGTAATATTGCTGTAGTTTGTTATTTTTCATAATTTTTAAGGGTAATGTCATTCTGTCGTTACTACTATTTCTTCATTTTTAACAGGCAAAATCACCAGTCCGAACTTTGGATGAATTAAGCGTTACTGAGGTGGTATCAAGTCCATATTTCCCATCAACTTCAGAAAGGAAACCAAGTGGTGCTGTTATGAATGGCCTGCCTGACACCTTGAATTCTGCGATTCCCAATCTTGAAGGTAGACGCGAGTTTGGGATTAGAAGAAGGCATCGTTGCTTAGTTGTCACAGCAAGGGCACGTTCTTTTCTTTACCATCAGGTTGATCTTATATTTTTGTTTACCTTCTTCCATTGGTCTAATAGCTTTTCATTTTCCTTCAATAGAAAAGATGGCATTTTTGGTGTTTTTACATGTAGTGGGTATAACCGGTTTCATTAGACCAAACATTGCACCAGCAAAGGGGAAAAGGTTGGATTTTCTGCAGAGTTCACATAGAATGCTTTTGGTGATTATGAGAATGCCTAAAAAGTAGGGGATGCAGGGGTGGAGACACTTTGCAATTAAGAACTTCCATGAATACTAAAAAAAATTATCAAACTAGTGTATGTTGGGGTCAGATGTCTTAGTTTTTGAACAAAAAAAAGCATAGTGACAAACATTTTTTGTGGATGCCTTCTTCCCGCAATGTTTTATTCTGACATGGAGACTTATTGCCGTTACACGAATGTGAGTATGAGTAGACCCCCATAGCTATCCGGCTCAATCAAGAAAAGGCCATTTAATAACTTCGTAAGGATTCAAACATGGAATCGATTTGTTGCCACATTGTAACAGTCAATTGGAAACTGCATGACATAACATTGAGTTGAGATAGTTGTTAAAGCCATATTGCATTACATGATTGATATTTCAAGACCATCTTGTTTGGCATGACACATGAAATGATTTATTTTCTTCGGGTGAGTGTGGGTGAGTGCCATAAATGCCATCGATGTATCTGTTAAATTTCATGCTATACAACAATAAAACTCTGTTTTCACCCTAAATACTTGGTGAGTTGAAAGTTTAACTGTTGAAGCGATATAACTTGTTCAGGTTAGACTACTAGTGGGAGCTCTCAAAGCTGTGGGGACTGGGGATCTCACTGTTCCTGATGGTAAGGGTAAAAATCTTTTTAGTTCTGTTCGTTAGTTGAGGCCATTCGGGTTAGAATTATATTGATTTTGTTTATATATATATATATATATATTTGATGAATCGTTTCAGTTCAACGCATCCTCGACGCGAAGACAGTAACTGCTGCAAGTCCAATGGCCCCTGCATGTGGTCTTTACCTTGGACATGTGAAATATGATCTGCCTCCTCCTCCCCAAACTGAAGGATCAGAAAAAACAATATGACACCCATATTGTTTGCACTGAGGTATGTTTTTTTTCCTCTCTTCCACCAAACATAGAAAATTAAGAATTATGTTATTTTTAAATGGCCTTTTTCTTCTTAAAGGTATCAAACTATGTTTTGATCATTTTTGGTAGCTGGCACCCGACACATAAGCATGAACGGGGTTCTATCTTAAAACCAATTGTGCAATATGCACACAATTTGAAGATCTCGAGGTTAAAACATTATTCCAGTACAAGTTTTTTCCGGAAATTGTGTCTCTGCTCCCAAGTAGTGGTAAGATTTGGGTAACACTCACTCCCTAGATCCTACTTTTTTGTGATTTTTTACTTGGTTTATTGTTGTTGTAATAGCGGGCTAAATCTGGCATTTAGCTTATTTTGTTGAAGAGACCATGGGAAAACATAAAACCCAAACCAGCATTGAAAACTAGGAAAAATCATTATTGGTGGACAAATTCTGTTTTTTTAACTCATTGTAAATTTCATGTTATTCTGCACAATGTTGAAAATTGAATATCATTTTCTGTTTGTGAGTATTTGTTCACTTTTGATTTTTTGCAGTCAATCACTTTCAGTGTTTGACCTATAATTAAATAAAAATTATTAGATTGACTATCAATTGGATAAAATAATATTGTGACAATATTTTATAAAATCAATCTAGTAAAATTTTTTATAAAAATTTTGTTATTACATTTCATCTCATCATATATTTTATCTGACCCAAAATAAGAAAGGACAGATGTTTTAGTACTGTTTAATGCAAAATTCATTATTTTGTTTAAAAAAACTTTGTGCTAATTCAAATTACTCCGTAGGATTTTTTTGAGATGGAAGGGAATATAATTTTTTTAATAAATATAACAAAACAATCTTTTTATCAAAAGGGGAGTGTTTGGGATCACAAGCACAATAGTTATAAATTTTACAAATTTACTATTTGTGAATTTTAATAAAAAAATCAAATAGTTTAAATAATTTTAAAATGAGAAATTTTAAATTATAAATAATAAGTTTGTAAAATTTGTGACCTGAATTTTGCATTGCTCTTATCCAATTAAAAAATCAAAACTTGACTTGAATTCTAAAACTTGCATGCATCTGTGCGTGTGTTTTAATTACTTGGCTTTTTTCCCTAGCAATAGTACGTGTATTTTAAGCTTAAATTACTCCTACTGTCCCTGAAATTTTCATGCACGGTTACACAAATAGCTCTATTCCAAAAATGGCAATATTTATTTCTTTATTTATTTATTTTTAATTATTTAATAAAATAAAAATATTCTCATCACCTTTTTCATAGAATTTTTTTCGTAATTTTTTAGTGTGCAATTATTTAAAATTAATATATAAAATTTTAAATAAAATAAACTAAAAAAATTTTAAAATTTGGTCACGTGTTTGCTTTCATGCAATCTATTTAAAAACAGAAGAAATAATTATTTATAATGGAGTAAAGAACTGGAAACGAGTAAAATATTAGGTATGTTTTTGTTTGTCATATGAAAGTAATTAAATGTGCAACTAACCGAAAAACATGTCTTTGAATAATTTTTTTACCCTCCATCCCAGAAACATTATTTTGTTACGGAGTATAACCTTGAAGTCTTTGATATTTGATTGAAAATAAATTTAATTCAATTCTAAAAGTGAGATGAAAAAAATTTGGAACAAAATATTTTAAAACTGCATCTAAATAAAGTATTGTATTTAATTTTCTCAAATTAAAAATAAATAAAAAAAAAAAGTGGGCAACATATGAAAATTTAATAATGAACACACTTTTTTCTAAGATTGGAGGAACATTTTATATTAAGCCAAGCCACTAATTATAGCTATAGTTAGTTGTGACCAAACCAATTGACCAATTATTCAGTTTGGCAAAATAGTGAACCGAAATTAATCCAAAAAATCCAATTATAAACCGAAAACGAAACTAATTGTAAACTGAATGTGCTTAAAAGCCAACTTTGGTTGACCGATTTTAATTAACAGAAAAATCCAATTTGTTAGAATTTGGAATATGCAGATGAATAATATTTTTTTAAAAAAAAAAGAAAAAGAAAAATAATAATTGGACATTGTCCCATTTAATTAACGTGTCAAACTTCATTTCAATTGGTCAACGTAAGAAACAAGTAATGCAACTCTTGTCCCCAACCCCTTTCACCATTTATTGCTATAAAATGTACCCTCTCCTACCATTTTTTCCAATATAATTCCTTCAATTCAATCTTAATTGCCTCAAATTCATTATAATAAGATCATATCCCAACAATATATTCTTCCCTTCTTCCACATCATAAATAATGTCCCAAACACCAAACCTCAGATCAAGAACATCGACATCGTCTGCCCCTCAAGCAGCAGACGACGAACGAGCAGCCAAAAACTCGGAACCACCTCGAAGACTCGAGGTGGTTCCAGAGTCTTTGCCACCTCCGTCGTTGCCGCAGCGTGCCCTGGAGAGCACGGCAAACCTCGCCAACCTCCTCCCGACAGGCACGCTGCTGGCATTCCAGCTCCTCACCCCAATCTTCACCCACAACGGGTCGTGCGATGCCGCCACGCGGCCCCTCACCCTCGCCCTCCTCTCGGCCCTCGCCCTGTCGTGCTTCCTCGCCAGCTTCACCGACAGCGTGAGGGCCCCGGCGGGAGGGAGGGTTTACTACGGCATCGCGACTCCGAGAGGGATGCGGATGTTCGACGCTCCCGCGGCGGCGGCGGCCGGAATAACCGCGAAGGACTTGGAGAGGTACAGGGTGGGGTTGGTCGACTACGTCCACGCCGTTCTGTCCGTTCTGGTGTTTCGGCTACCGCCTTGAGGGACAAGAACGTCGTGGACTGTCTCTACCCGAGAGCGGGCGTGGAGACTAGGGAGGTGTTGGACATTGTCCCCATCGGAATCGGACTCCTCTCTAGTCTTCTATTTATTGCCTTCCCCACAAGGAGACATGGAATTGGATTCCCCGTTACGTCTGGGGGCATACCAGAAAAAGATTACTAGCTGATGACTGCCGTGATAGATTGATCACTAATATATCCCAAAAGAATGTTATTTGACCAATTAGTAAATTGTTATACACAGACGGAGCCATTCTAGCAAGCATTTCACTTTTGTTTTTTTGACTATATCAGATAATTATTTTTTTCGTGAAATAAAACACTAATGAATACAAGGTAGTGTATTTGGCTTGTGTTTGGCATGGTTAAAAGTCCATCCTGGAGCTCAAGGCTGACAAGCATAATTAACTCATAATGATCCTTCAATGGACACACAAGGTTGGAACAGTCATTTTGATGGTTTATCTTCTTCCAACAGCAATTGTATTATGGAGCTGATAACTTCTTTCGCCTTGGTGCTTGCACTCTGAACCAGAAAACAACATTATGGTATATACCGATTAGAAGAAGAATGAAACACGCAGTCAGAAAAGACCACGCATGGCCTGGCGCCTAGCTGGACAAAGACAGAATGACACTTGAACTTTTTTTCACTTCTAACTTTCTATGAAGTTTTGGAAAGCATATGTAACAATTGCTCGAGCCTACGACCACGGGCTTGAGTGTTTGGTTGAGTTGGGTTTTTTAATCAAAGCCATTTTAAAAAATAATAATTTTCATTTTTTAATATCAGAGCCAGTTTTTTTTTTAAAAATAATTTTCACGTGCAAGGTTTGAAGAGGAGGCACATCAGAGTATAAATCTTTCTCGAGCCTAAGATCACAAGTTTGATCTTTTGGTTGAGTAGATTCTTTAACAACAACACATTGAAGGGTATAGCGGGAAAATGCCTCCCTTTTTTCACATGGAAAGGTTGCATACTACTTAACCCACCCTCCCCCAACTTCAAAAGAGTTGGGATTATACTATGTTTGTTGTACTTTGGGTCATAGTTTGTTCTTGTACTACTCCCATAAACAATTTTTCTAGTTAGAGTCGAGGTAGGATCTGCATCCACCACCCCCAAGACCCTACTGTTCTTGAATGGGTGAGATTTAGTGAGTTCGTTTGTTTATAATTTGAGTACTGAAGAAGAAGAGTGTACCCGTGGGTTCTGAATAAGGTCCTTGAGAATGTCACGTAGAGTTAGCTGCAGTTCTTTGAAGAGCACAGCAGTTTGTGCAGCGGCCCTAACTTTTAACCATCCATCAATGGTGATTATTCCACCCTGTTTTATTGCCAACAACATACAAGTCTTGAGAATTACATCAGCATCCAAATTGACCTAACTAGAAATGAGTTTAATTCTTTGTAAACAAAGAGCAAGGCAATTATAGGTGAAGTGGAAAAAGTAAAACTCGCGCAATCTTGTCTTTTGCTCAACTCTGCCACCTAATATCTACTCCAGTCTCCTGCAGGGCATTTATTGCAGTATAGGAAGAGAAGAACAGAAACCACATGACCACTACCCCATTTGCTACATTATAATTGTTATACGTACATTGCACAAGTAAACTTTCAATTACAATAAGAACAAAAAAAACTGTAAATACATAGGCAGAAAATCGGGTAGGGTATTAGGGTCCAAATACCTGATGTTGTACATTTATTGAACCACCAAACAGCAAAATGGAATAAGGGGAGACTATGGTAGTATCCCGCAGGAAAACTTTATTCGTCGCTACCTGAGAATTTCGTGAGCATCAGAATCTTATACTTGAAAAGATAAAGTATAGATAAATGGTAGCCTATTTAAAGAGACTGGGCTCAAATAAATTTTTACTATGCTAAAATTAGAATGGGTCATTGCAACTTAGTGAAGTCGTAGTTAGTCAATGCAACTTTCGATGCTCATCATGGGTCATCTCAAAACACAAGCTCTATGTTTTAAACACGGGTCTTGCTGAATACGTGAATACCTATGGTGCTTGAACCGGGGGTCTCTTTGGAAACAACCTCTCTACTTTTGGGTAGGGGTAAGGTCTGCGTACACCCTCCCCAGACCCTACTTTTGTGGGATTCAACTAGGTTGTTGTAAAATTAGAATGGGACAAATGGAGTATTTATATTCTCATAACTATGCATAGTATAAAATTTGAGTAAGGACATCAAATGATACAAACATGTGCATGCTACATAATCTAGAAAGTGACGTATTGGTATGAAGAGATCAATGATCATTATCAGCACCTTAATCCCACTGATTGGGATCCACGGCATTATATTTGTATTTGTAGAGTCAATTAATTGTACAAAGTTAATTAACATTGTAAATTAATGCAAAGAGTATAGCAGCAACGTTTTAAGTTGAATGCCCTTCCCGGTGCAAAATTCATAAGAAAGAACAATGGGACTAACAACAGCAACCTAGTATAATGAGACTAAGTGGTTCTAAAAAACACAAACCTTTTCGAGGAAGACAAGAAATGGATATTGTAGAGCTTTCAAATTAGAGTTGATTGAAGAAGGGTGAATGTGAGCTTCTCTTTTTCCATCAAACCACATCGGCTGACTCTTTGATTTGGGCCCAGTATACTGGGCTATGGATCCAAGAACAGATGAAGCAATGCCATCTACTGTCGCAGCTACATTGGGATATAGACCAGCACAAAGTATAGCCTAATCATGTAGATTCAATATTGGTATTACTAGTCTTTAAAAATAGAAAAACAAATAAAGAAAGTGGTAGCACTAGTCTTTAAAAAAAGGCAAAGAATATTTGCTGATATTTATTATCCTTCATAGAAGGGTATGAAGTTTTAATAAAACATTGAAAAATTGGTTTACCTTTAGAATTAAATTGTGATTTGCATGCACGTTAAACGGTTGCAATGTATCTGAGAGCCAACTATCAAGTTTTTCTTTCCTTTTCCATGAGATCTGCATTCAATGAGTACTTCAAGTTACAATGTCACTAATGAATAGACGAGCGGTGGTTGAGTATCTAGAAGGTAAGACACCATAGAAATTAGACGGTATAAAACTAAAAATTAAAGAGAACAGTTCCTGCATATGCCCAAGTAGACAAAATAAAGGAGGGGCAAGAACCTAATAATGCTTATTTCCTGAATCTATCAAAAGATTTTTTGAGTAAAAGGTTTGTCTAATAATTTGAAAAAAGTTACTGTAACAACTATAATCATGAAATAAAATGGTTATGGAATAGCATTCTACATCTAGAATACCTGGAAAGTATTGGGCATTTCAATGAGTCCAATGTCAGCTAGCAATGTTCCAAATTGTACTCTCATGTCTCTGAAAAGGAGCATGTTACTTTTAGTGAGGGGGAAACTAAAGATCACATTAACTTCAACTACTTACCCTAGAGTCTAGAAAATGTATTAGCTGTAGAAAATACATAACAAGAAAAAAATCACTTATTCTGAAAACTACACAAAACCTTAGAAAGGCATTAACACTTCAAAAAGAAAAAAAAGAACTCATATTAATAGATGGATCAAAATCAGATGGGAAGAATATACAGATGAGGCATGAAAATTACAATGCACGAATATTGGAAGCATTTATTAGTACATATATTTTAGTGAGTATATGATTATTAGAGTGATATTATTGGCTTTTATGGTAAATGATAGAAAGAAATTGAGAGAGAATCTTTCTGTAAATGACCTAACGCGATTCTTCTATTGGTTTATGTAGCCAACCATTAGTTACTAGTTACTATGTATATAAGGTTTGGTTGTTGATATTTTTGGTTTTGGTTTGAAGAATAGAAGCTGATGATCACGTGTGTTTTGCTTCATTGTGATATGTTGGTAAGTCAATTAATTTTTAACACCTTTCAGTCTTTCACTGTCATATCTTCCGTAACGAAGTTGTTTCCTTTACAGTTTCCAACCCCTACTATAACTGAATTCATGACATAATATATTTCTTTCCTTGTAAGTTAAAAATTATTTTACTTTGCAATTAACACCCTTTTAGCTAGATCATGACTCCAACATGCTATACAAATGAATGACATGAGCATTTTTGTGTGGATCCATTTCCTTATAAACCACAGTTAGTTTTATGAAGTTTATGTAAGTTTGTAACTATTTTAGCGATTTCCTCTGGATTAGGAAAATGCGTCTACGAAAAAAATGGTAGGTTTAATGAGAGAATGAAGACTTTTGGGAAGAAAAAAAACCTTATCATGTACATAACTGAATTGCTTAAGAAATATAAGCTGCAGAATCTCTGTGCTGCTTTAGCTCCATTCTGCAAGAAGAACAATGCATTCAACCAACCAACATGAAATCAACAATATTGGCTGCACTAGAATAGTAAAACACTTGAAAATTAATTGTTGTAAAAGGGAAAACATGAAAATCTTCTTCGTTGGCGCTCAGCCAACAAGGCACCCTTAAGGTTTGTCCTTTACACCTTAATTTTAAGGCGAGCCTGTAGTCTCTTAACTAGAACCAGGAGTCCGGAGACTAGATTCTGGAGTTGGATACTGTTTTTTAGTATTAGTTAAATTCTGGTGTATGGAGTCTAGAAACTGGAATCTAGAGTGGATACTGGAGTTTGGATATCTGGAACTAAAAAATTAATAAAACAGGGACTTAGGAGATCATAAGGTGAACACTCCATTTTTTGCTAGCTCAGTAAGTTCACAGAAGTATTAGGGATAGGTGATCCTGACCTATAATGTTTTATATAATCCATTGATTCAGTGAAGAGAATAAGACATTTGAATGATTTGATGAGATAAGGTTTCTTGACAGTACTTAAGGGTAGGTAGCCTGTATTTCTGCAACACTACAAATTAATATAATCTAAAACTGCATCACATACTCCATCAGTCCATCCATCCCATATATTTTTGGGTAGTTCCATATCATTCCTCCCACTTCTATAAATGGCTATTAAATAAAGTCTAAAAACATTTTTGCCCTTAAATATTACTCCTATGTACTAATGTACTCCTTTTTTTGAAGTCTAATTACTACCACACCCCCACTGCTTTGTTCTCCATTCACGACCATCCAGGCAGCAGCTAAAGAGCAGCGCTGAAAGGACAGCAGCAAAAGGGCAACACCGAGCTGTGGCAGATTGTCTCTCGGCTTTGGTTCTCACCGTGCCCCATGGAACTTCGTCGGAATCGTCTCGGACTCCCTGGGTTAGAATTGGCACCGCTCTGTTGCCTGAATTATTTTTAAATTTTTTTGGGGGTTGGCCTTCAGAAATTGTTGCTTATTGGGGCATTGTATTGACTTTAATTTGGTGAGATCTAGTCCTAATTTAGCTGTGAAGGTAATTTTTTTTGCTAGAAGAGCTTTAATTCTTGATTATTTAGGTCTGCCATTGGATTCAAAAAAAGGTCTTGTGGGGTTGTTTTAAAGCCGAGCCTGTAACCGTAAGTCCGTAACCGTTTGAGACGGAAGACAAAGAGGAAGGAGCGCCACAAAAGTGAATGGGCAATTTTGGGAAGTCAAAACATTTTTTATCTTACATTAAAAACTGTGCCAATTCAAAACGAGAAGAAACAACCAGGACGGAGGGATTAATATTTACCCATAGCAACATTCTTTCAACTAAGAAATTTGTCCAACTAGTTTGTACCGTTCTGATTTAATTTAGCAGTTTATATAAAGTTAGCATAAGTGCATATGTCTTCTCAACAAACCTCATGCAAAACTTTCTCCCATTTCTTATATGCAACCATCATTAGCAGATGGTCAGATTGCAAGTTGTCATAAGAAGAATCAGTTTTGCCACTAAGTTTCTCACCCAAAAGAGCCAGCTTGGCTCTTTCAACAGTTTGCCTCTGCAAATTCATTTCATTCATCAGTTCATTCCCCTTGCAGATAAGTCAAAGAAAGTGGTCAAATGTTGAAAATATAACCTCATCTTTTGGGTAAACAAATGGAGATTTGTAGCTCAAAAAAGCTGAAATAGAGAGAATTGGTGATAAACAACCAAATATAGTGCCATACAACATCATCTGCAATTCATTGATAAAATAAATCAAACTGCAGGACAAAAATATGAGCACTCAATATTAAGAAAGACGTACTCACCAGACTAGTTCAACCTTTAAATCCCTTGTAAGGTTTGGTTTGTATGGTGAGATTAATTCAGAAGAGAAAAAAACACTTTAAGGCATACCTTTCCAATCAGCACATCAACGGGGAGTTTTGCTAAATGATACCCAAGAGGAGTCAACTCTTCATCTCCTTCAATTGCTCCCACCTAATCATAGGTTCAATTTAGATTCGCTCAGAAAAATCATACTACATATTCTGCAGTGCAATATTGTCAAATTCTGCCCAGAAGTTTAATGTGCTGCTTTGTTTTACTCCATTGTAAGGCAACACATTTTTATAGAAGAAACTGCTGATCCTTCATAATAGTGAATAACTGGATACCTCATATAACAAAGAAATTGCTGATGAGATCGCCTCTTCCTTTGGAGGCTCTAGGGCCTGGAAAGCATAATATAATAATGATAAATAGATGTTTAGAAGTAGTCATTAGTCAACCCTGTGATAATGTTTATCATAATATAATAATGATAAATAAATGCATAAAATGGTACCTTGGATAAGAACATATTTATGCTGCCTAGAGAAAGCAACTTGATTTGTAAACATAGTTCGACCAAAGGCATCCGCAGCATCTCAGGTATCTGCAACATCCAAAGAAAGAAAGATGAAAAGTAGTGAACCAAAAATAATCTCAGTTCCTATTAAGTGCTTGTTTAGCGCAAAATTAATTTAATCATATACATTTCAAAAAGCATAAGCTCAGATAAGACTAAAAGGAGAAAGTGTTTTATTGTTACTCCAACAACAACAACAACAACAACCCAGTCCTTTAATGTTATATAAAAGGCAAAACATGTTGAAGAGAACAAAAAATTCTAGTTGGGCCAGGGCCAAGCTTATACTTCCTCTCTCCCATTATATTTCTCTTTTTTCCATTTTGGTTTGTCCCATTCCATAATTGGTACACTTATGTGACTCAAATCAATATTTTACTACAGTAGTTAAATATCAGCCACACAATCCCACCTTTCCTAAATTTTTGTGTCACCCTCCCATGTCTAAAAAAATAGTGGGACAGGTGATACTAATATGTCACTACCTGATAAGGTCGCATGAGCTTTTCATATCGATGGCGTGTATACAGACAGAAGCATATTCCTGCCTTTACACGTCCGGCTCTTCCTCTGCGTTGCCTTGCATTTGCTTGTGATATCCAATCTTCAACCATGCTTGATAATTTCTAATATCATAAGACTAGTTGGTATAAAACAGCTAATTGAGTAGCAACTTAATAAGATAATCACGAGCAGTTATTACTCCATGATTTGTTATAAAAGTAAAGGAAAACAAGAATTTCATGAAGATTGATAGATACCAAGGAGTAACAAAATGAAATGATCTCATAACTTTTTGAAAGAGAGTTACATCATATGGAAGCCCTCATAGACTACAAATCCAATTTTGTTACTTCAGATTAGAGACCTCTAATCTGCAGCACTATTAGTACTGCATGAATGGGGCAACCTCCTTACTGTAGGCTTCAAAAAGAAACCATACCTTTTTTGGATTAAAGCGATTTTCCTTATGCTTTCCACAATCTACCACATAAACCACATCATCTATTGTTATACTAGTCTCTGCAATATTTGTTGCAATAATAACCTGGAAAATGAAGAAGAATCAAGCATATCAGCTCGTCTAATAAAAAGGTCAATATGCAAAACAACAACCGATGAAGGTCCCATAAGTGGGGTCTAAGGAGGGTAGGTGTACAAATAGGACTAAGAGGTTGTTCTGAAAGACAAGATGCAAAACACTGCTATAAAGTGCTCATTGAGTAAAATTATTTGAAAACCACATAGTAAGTCATTCATATGCCCATGTAGCCAGGACATGTGGGTGAACATTGACAATATTAAGTTGTAACTGAATTTCAAGGAAAACATAGTTATATTATGCAGTTTGCACATTGAGTAATGTGAGTATGTGACACAATCACCAACGTTTCTCTACAGTTCTTAATAATCTACATAACTATTTTTTCTAGAGATAATTATGGTGGGAAAGAATTAAAAGCACAGGAGCATAGCTATGACTATTATTTTTTATATGTACATATAGCTTGTATTTCCGTTTTAATATTTCCCGTTGTGGCTAACACTATGATGATGTATTCAATTTAAAATACCCAGCTGGAATAAGGCTGTTATCTTACTTTTTCAAAGGAATATTAAGGGGAAAATCATTTTGGAAATGAATATATTCAACATCAGCTTTTTTTTTGCAATAGTATGATGCAACAATCTTCCAAAAAAAAAGGCAATCAAGTTCATCTTTTATGGGATATTGTCAAAATTCAGGCACCATTATGAGCTGAAAGTGTTGAAACTTTCAAAGGAATGACAAAAGCACTTTACCTTACGAATGCTCTCAGGAGGTCTTAGAAACACCTTCTTCTGATCCTCAGATGCTATTGATGAGTGCAAAGGAAGAAGCCATTCAGAAGACTCTCCCCCAAACCGATATGAGGCGCTAAGTCTATCAAGCAGCATATGAATTTCTGCAACACCCTGCCATGGGTAAATTCCAGTACTCATTATGTTCCGCACAAAGATAAAATGCCATTCCAAGATTTCAAGTTTTCAACAAAATTTCAGACCCCAACCAAAAAAGATGAGCCATAAACAAAACTTACAGGTAAAAAAACCAGTATTGAACCCTCAGGGTAAGTATCATAAATTTGACATACAAGGTCTTCGAGAAGATCATAATCTATAACATCTTCATTCATTCTTCTCTGTGCAAGTATACATTATGGAAATGACCAAATTAGCACCAAACACTTCCCAGCTTCCAGTAATATAAAAGAAAGCTTCCAGAAACAGTTACCAGGTTTTGTTGAGTTTGCTCACTGTATGTTTGATAGCTACTTGGATCATAATATGGATTTACACAGTCATCAGACAGCAACGATTCATCCCCCCACGCAGACAGGACAAGATTTTTCTTCCCTCTGTGATTTCCAATAGGAGCACTCTGCAAACACCCACTTGAAAACAAACAATGAGAAAGTCATGTCACTCAATGAACCATGTGCTTCCAAACACGTGCTTTACCTCACTAATTCGTATTAATCATAAGGCCCAAGAGCTTGATGCTTCAGACATTTCTTTTCACCAGAAGCCACATCATATAACAACATAATTAGAATAGAGAAACTACTCAAGTTACTTAGATCACACTGATATTGGTTAGTGATTTCAGAAGGAAAGGAAGGTCATGCAAGACCTAAGATGAGCAGTTAAGATTGAACTTGGAGAACTTAAATCTCCCTTCTACAGACAAAAGTTGTGGGAAACAGTGAATTAGGGATGTGAATTCCTTGTAGTGATTGTGTGTAGATGCTGTGTGAGTGAGTGTGTGTGTTCGTTTCTTTCACTCGCACTACGGGTCACAGTTCTTGGAGGTCCTCTTGTAAACACCTAAGGTTTGTGTACATCTTGCCCCCGTAGACCCTACTCTCGAGTGGGATCTACTGGGTTGGTTTGGTTTGGTTTACCTACTCGTTGAAGACATATTCAGTTAAGAGGGAGGCCATTAGTCACATACTCAGTGTTGTCCACTACATGCCTAGAAAGATATATTTGTGTTGTGACTTCTGAAAGCCACCCATCAAGCTGTTAGCTATGATATTAGCTGTCACGATAATCGTCAAAGCCAGAAATATGGGATGGGAAAAGCAGCAGTAGCAAGCTAACAGCTAAACTTTAATTTATCAGAAATTGAAAATCTAAGAAAAAGTCAAGTTCTAGAAGAACCTTTTGTTTTGTAGGTGCTCCATAGCTCATAGAAGCTGGAGAATCAGTTGCAAGGCGATAGTTGAGCTTTTCATAAATATCCTCTAGAAAATAAGTTGAGACATGATGTGTTCGTCCTTGTGCAGTAATAACAGGACAATGACCAAAGTATTGTGAAAATGAATGTGAATCAACCGTGGCAGACCTACATAAAACATATAAAACATCATCATCATTGTCTTAATTCCAACTTGGGGTCGGTGGCTATAAATTTATAGTGTGAATTAATTTTATAAAACTAATTCACACTACAAACTCATGCAAAAAAGCACAGCAACAATGTTTTACGCCAAATGCCATTCACAACCTCCATAAGAAGGAATAATGAGATTTAAATTCAAAAATCCTCATCATCATAGCTCATTTCCACATGCATGGAAATTATCATGTGACGGTGATGAGTCGAGATATTTTCTATTGTCATGTCCATTACATGATTGATATAGCAAAACCGACATTAAGATCGTGGAACAGAACCACATAATAGATCTAAAGATTAAGAGTAATGGGCAAGACTGAACATATAAGATACAGAAAAAGAAATAACTAAGCAGATAATCTAGGCATACATCAGTATGATTTTAAGTCTTGGAATTCCTTGAGCAGATTGCTTCTCAACAAGATTCCGCAAAACAATAAGAAGAAAATCACCCTGACAAGCAAAAGAAGAAGAGGTTGGCATTTCGGTTCAACTGATCTTAATATCCTTGGCCATTATAGATGTTAATTGTTAACAATTTACAATCTGATTATATGAACACAAGTACTATTGCACTTAACCATAATAACATATGAGAATATGTATGTAACTCACCAGAAGAGATCGTTCATGCACTTCATCAACAATGATGTGACTTATACCGCTCAAGTCTTTGTTACCCTGCATTTTAACATATCAAAAACAGAAATTTAGTTATCACCATTCCAACTTTTGAAAATCCATTCCCACCTATATTGCACAGAAAGAAGGGTGGACCTAAATAATATGCTTAAAAGCATACTCACATATTTTTACAAAATTAAACTTTAAAAATATTTGGTTGTAGGGATAAGACTGCGTACATCTTGACCCCCCCCCCCCCATTATAATGGGTTGTTGTTGTAAACTTTAAAATGATTTAAAAGCAATAGATGAAATTGTTGATGGCAAGTAAGACTTACCGAAATCATTCTCAAGAGGATGCCAGTTGTACAAAAGAGAAGCTTTGTTCTTTCATTCCTAAAGCAAAGAACAAGCATACAAATACAATCAGTGCAGTCTATCATTTGAGGAAATAATAAGTAACAGAGGAAAAGGATCATCTATCAACAGTACATGTTTGTGCATGTGAAACATAAAACTTGACATCTGTAAATGGGTCCCGACCAAATACCATAAAGAACTCAGACAATATAGGTAGTCCACGGTGGCAAGGGTTTAAGAATGTAAATTCAGCCACTAAGCTAATCTACATTTCAGCACGGAAATTTTCATTATTAGCTACAACTTGTCCCGTTTCTTCCATCTTCTCTGATGGAGTCAAAATTTCACTATTATTTGGCTTTGGAGTAAGATTGAATAAAGCAAAATGGCTCTTAAACTATATGTACTTCTTTTGATAATGAAGTAACGGTTAAACAATGCAACTTTCAACGCTCATCATGGGTCTGGAAACAGCCGCTCTATGTTTTAACATGGGGGTCAAGCTGCGTACATCTGATCCCCCTACGCCGCAATGGGCGGGAGCCCTTGAGGGACTGGGGTAATGCTGTTCTTGTTGCTGTTGCTACAACTTGTCCCTTTTAATCTTTCATCACAAGATTCACAACTAAGGCTTACAGAGCAGATAAAAATGCTGCCATTCACTCACCACAACCTCCCGTCCCCCTCCCCACACCCTCACCTTAAACATTCCAACTTGCCTTAAACATGGAATTTGTACCACCTCATGATATGCAGTTACACTGCTACATAGGTAAATTGTATCTTTTACATCTATACATAATAAATCACAAACTTTCATTTGCCGGGATCCTAATCAACCTGGAAATGTCATTCCCAAGAGATAGAATTCCAAGAATAGTGAAACCATTAGCTTAAAGTAGACACTACATAGGTTTGACACATGCATATTTATATCGGTGTGTGCAAAACTTAATGAGCTTTAAGATACTTGCATAGCAAATTCATAGAGGAAAAAATACCAAAAAGTCTAAATTGATAAAAGAGAAGTATAGGAATATGGAGTAAGTATAATGCATGAAAAAAATACTGACAAACATGGAGTTTGACAGGTGATTACCTTGCACTATCAAGACGAACCTGATAGCCAACCAATGAATCATGTGAACCTGGTGATGATTCAACTCGTTCATCAGCAACTCTTTCAGCTACAGAAATTGCCTATTCAACAAAATTCTCAACATCAAAAGATATCATAATGTCAATAACTAATACTCCGTATGTATTTATTTAGGAACTAGAGAAACAAATATTAGCATAAGGATGTAAAACTGACCGCAATTCTTCTAGGTTGTGTGCATATGATATTACAATATTCACCACATCCTGATTCAATCATGTCATCCAATATAAATTGAGGAACCTAGGAAAGTAGGAGTTAAGAGTGCAGAAGAAATCCTAATAACATTATAATACAAAGAATTCCACTTTCTTTATGGCTCCTTTTAGTTTATATTTTCAATTTCAAGCATTAATTGTTTGAACCAAGTTTTCTTTAAACCTATAACTATATAAGATTGAAAAAAACAGTACAGGAAGTAACATAAAATAAAACATGGAGGGGCGGATGTTGGAGCTATTCAGTGCAGCAAACTAGTATGAAACTTATAAAAGCTGAAGAAGTCAAACATACATGCTCAAAGGTTGTGTACTTGTGTGGGAGAACTAATAAAATCTTGGATACATAAACTTAAGCTTTAAAACAGGGCATACGAAATTCTAACCTGAGTGGTTTTTCCACACCCTGTTTCCCCACAAACAACCAAAATATCATTCTTTGTAAGTGAATGCAAAATATCATCCTTTAGCTCAGCAATAGGAAGGGCAGCTCTGGATTTCAACATGTCCTAAATGGAAAGTATACATCGACCAGAGGTGAAAAGGATATGCATTGGGAATACATTCACCAAAATCAATAGAACATATGAAGAAAGTAATTGCATCTTTAAAAGCTGCAATGATAAAATACTGCTCAGAAATAACATGGAGTGCTAAATGTGGAAAAGCATCTCCTTTATAAAGAGACTTCACACTGTTCACAGATATCCAAACATCATTGCCATACTTGGCATCTGGTAAACTTAGTAAAAGGCAAAAACTGGATCTGAGTACGAGATCTCAAAGTAAGAATAAATTTGACTGGTCAGAGTAGCGAAACGTCTCAAATGCAAAGGTGTGGTAAAAAGTGTATCTCTATGTTAATAATAGAGATAGATACTATAAAGATCCCTAGTGCATTCTACCATTCCACATCAAACAGCATTTATTCATCAACCATGTTCTCTTGATGTACAAAAAGGGAAAACACTTAAACAGTCTTTCTAGCAACATGCAAATAAAATGGGTTTAGGTAAAGACGTGTGTGAGTTTCTTAGAGTGTCCTAACTTCATATCATCAATCTTCATTGTTGTAGAAAGAAAAATACTAACCTGATACTTCTTCATTTTCTTCTTATTTTCTTGCTCTTGCCTCAAATAAACACTTTCTGATCCTTCTCTTAGATAAACTTCTACATTATTGCAAAAGGAAGTGCTAAGAAAAGAATTCAGAATCCCTTATTCTGAGAATGAATAGTTGAATACATAATCTTGACTCGTGAGAGATGATCCATTCTGGAACATCATGTAGCCACTCGCCACACTTAATCACAACTAAATAAACAAGCAATCATAAACCCTAAAAACAATAAAGTGAACTTAAGAAATGATATCATTTGAAAAGTTAAACTTCACATAGTTCCCTCAGAGGCCTGTAGGTCACAGTATGATGCATATCAACCAGTGACCGGCATTTAGTGTTTTCTAACATTTGTTAGTGTAAATACTGATGAAATAGAAATATATAACAAATTTTTCAATAGTACTAAAGCTCAAGTATACAGATAGTAATATAGACTTAGTGACTTTCTGAGAAGTGATTGCCTGACTAGACATAAAGTGGAAGGTGTAGAATAAAACAGGTGTTTAGCCATCGATATACAAAAAAAGTCCACTGAACATACTTTTAAATTTCAAATCAGAGCTAGTCGTTTGATCTTTGGTAGCTTGAGGTTGTATCCATTCCTGAGTTGAATTGTCAGTAATGCTCAAAGGAGCAATAGTGCAAGTCTCATTGGAATCTAATAATGAATTGATAAAACATTCTCTGCGATCTTCTTGATCCTCAACTATATTGGCCAAAGATTCACCTGGAAGTTCCCAACAGTAGAGGAAGATTTACCAAGAGTATCAGTCAAGACTCAAGAACTGCAACTATTATTAGTTTATTGCT